GACCCCCTTTTATAGTGGGGCAAACCCCCCAACAAACCAAATCCAGAAAAGCTGAGTTACATGAAGAAGCACGTGGCATCAGGCCCAGAGGGAACCCTTATTAAAAACCTGCAGTGTGCAGATGATACAAATTTGTCTGCTTAAGATGAGGGAGACTTGAAGCACTTGCTGATGAAGGTCAAAGATCGCAGACTTCAAGGTGAATTACAACTCAATGTCAAGACCGAAATCCACACAACTAACCAATAGGCAACATCATGATAAATGGAGAAAAGAAGGATTTTGTCTCGCTTGCATCCACAATCAGTGCTCATGAAATCAGCAGTTAAGGTCAGATGACATATTGTGGATTGGGTAAATTTGCTGTACAAGAGTTCATTAGAGTGTGGAAAAGGAGGGAGTAACTTTGAGCACCAAGGTACACCTGACTCAAGCTGTGGTGTTTTAAATTGCCTCATAGCATGAGAAAGTTGGACATTGAATGAGAAAGACCAAAGAAGAATTGATGCCTTTGCTTTGTAGTGTTAGTGAAGAATGTTGGAAGTATGACTTTAAAAAAGGACAAACAAATATTTCTTGGAAGAAGTACACCCAGACTGTTCCCTAAAGGCGAGGATAATAAGACTTTACCTCACTTACTTGGGACATGTCAGGAGAGACCAGGCCCTGGAGAAGGACATCATGCTGATAAAGTAGAGGGACAGCAAAAGAGAGCAAAGTTTTCAAGGAGAAGGATTGACCAAGTGGCTGCGACACTGGGCTCAAGCGTAGGAACTATTGGGAGGCTGGTGCGGGACCGGGCAATGCTTCTTTCTGCTGTGCTCAGGGTTGCTACCAACTCGATGGCACCTAACAACAGCTCCCATTGAACTGATTCCAACTCATGGAATATTGTAATCGTTTTAACTTTTATGTATTTTTCTTTGTTTCTTTTTCTGAGTTAAATTATTATTATTATTTTTTTGCCTTTTCTTTGCTTTGTTTTCCACATTTAAAATTATTTGGTAAGTTTTGTTTATGACAGAAAATCTGTACACTGAGAATGAATTTACCTTAATGTCTTCTTAGGGTAAGATAACGTATACATTAAAAGCAAAACACTGCACTTAATAAGTCACCTTACCAAATTCAAGCTTAGAGGGAATATCCCTATTTTCTGTTCCTGTAGAGATTTCTTCGAAATTGGAAGCTGTTAGAGAACAGATGTGTGTTGTAGCCTCTAAACTATTAGGAGTCGTAGTCACCCTTGACTCGATGTTTTTGCATTTAGTGTATCCTAGAAAGTTACTTCTAATTACTATGTTTTTGTTTAACAAATAGAAAGATCAACAATTACCTAAGTAATTCACTTGGATATTAATGGTATTGTTTGGTTCTAGTGACTCTTTTCTGTATGTTATTTTTGTATTTTTAAGTTATACTTTTAGTTGCATTTTTGAATAGCTTGTTTTCAGAAAATAAATGATTTCTTGCAGCTTTGTGGTGGGGTCAGGTTGTGGTAGGATCCTTATAAGACAAAATAAAGGTGTGGGGAAAGGAATTGCAATAGAATTTTTACTCATGGACTTGTTTTCATTTGTTCCTTTCCTCTTAGTGTTGATGTACTTCCATGGCTTTTAAAAAGATATTTCCATATTTGTTTAGGTAATATTTTTAGTGGTATGGATTTCTAGAAAGGAACCAAATCCTAATGCTTTGTAGTAATGGGCTCAGCTTTAGTCTATAGCTCAGCAGTAGCGGCATTAGGCTGTTATATCCGACATTCCCACCAAGTTTTCACCCGCACTTGGTTTTTCAACCCACCC